TGACTGTTCTTAATAGTGCAGTCATTGGAGCACAAAATGAGGCGCTGCCACCGTTTTTTTTCAATATAAACCGATTTGCATCAAATTTAAGAATTGGGTTCATCTTGCCCTTAACTTTCAAAGTAAAAAATTCATAAAGTCAATTTTAAACCCCATACCCACCATGGGAGAGGTTGCTTTTTTGTGACCTAATTTTGTGATATCGATAAGAAGAAATAATTCTGAGAAAAACATATTTCATACAGTTTATCAAAAAAAAACATATTTTTCCCAAGTTATTGACCATTGAAAATTCAGATTTTCTTACGTTTTTTATCGTTCTTTTTTGCATATATCTTTAGAGAGGTTTGACAAAAAATCACGAAATACCACGTCGAGGACGTGATGTATGAGTGTATTCATCTTTTACCTGAATTAAAAAAAAATCCAATATTTTTCAAAAAATTCCCAAAATTTGTACGATTTTTTCTTGGTACTAAAAATACACTTGATGTTAAATAAAAAAAGGGGATCAATTTTGAATATCAACACGTATTACCAAAGGGTTAAAGAATCCTTAAAATTTGATCACTTGATTATTGGACGCCCTCCAAAGGAAGCATTATAAGGATAAATTTATAATGAACAAAATTTGTAACAGGTAATTAAATTTTTACTTTAGAACTTGAAGGTAAGGTGAGCGTAATGCCAAAATTTTATGCAAATAAGTTTACAGCAAAATTTTTTGTCTATTTGGTATTTCAAAATATAAGAATTTGCTCTATCATCTGCAAACAATAAGCACATTTCTTTTTGTCCACGTTTTTGCCAAAAATCCTAAAAAAATTCTTTAAAAATTTAAAAACTGTTCGAAATATATCAGTTGAAAATCGTTCTGATTAACTGTTGACTTTTTTTATGATTTTAATAAGGAAAATGTCAAAAAAAAATTAAAATTTTTAATAGTCACAATTTATAAAGTTGCTTAATTCCTATATTGATTAAGTCGATTATTTGCACATATATGAAAGTTCATGTTTTTAGGGCAAAATATCACTTATATATCTAGTTTTATCTTTCTTTAAGCTGAATTTTATCTATAGTGGTAACTTTGAAAAATCTCTAAAATCTTGTGAAACTATTGAACTTTTGTTTGATAATTTGTACGATGGATAAAGTTTTTTATTTGCACAAAGTTTTAATTTGTTTACAAAGCCTTTTTCGTTTACAAAGTGATTATTAAATGAATAATGAATGATGTTGCGGCAAAGTTCTTTTTAGCATTCGCTGAAATGTTTTTGTGTCATATGATTGAATTGCCTAATCGAATTATTGATTTAACATACTGCATACGGCCTATTGAAAAACTAAGAAATAGATAGAGATAAATTTAGATATAAGTAACTAAAGTAATAAAGTGATAATAATAATAAAAATTAAAATAAATTTATGTATAATTAGTACTTGGACAAAATTGTTTGTCACATTTTTTATGTAATGACATGTTAAGATGTTAAATGTAATGTTATATATACATTTGTAATTCAAATGTCCCGCCATTATTATTAGTGATGTTGGTAATGGTATTTTTCTCCCGCCATCTAATACATCCGCCATTTTTATGTTAATGTTAAAAATGATGTAAAATAAACTCTCTTGCCATGAAGAAGGCGAAACAAGCAACACTAAAATAAATGTGTATATTTTGAAGGAAGTATTTTCATTTTTACTAAATAAAATTAAGTACTAAATAAATTATTGATCTGTAACACACAGAACTCAGATGCTAAATATCAATTCTAATTAAGTTGAATTGCAGTATTAAAGTATACCAAAATATTTGTAACCCAGTTTGTCAAAACACCATATAAATCAATTTTCCAAGTTATAATTATTAATTAGTAATAATAAAATATTAAATAAAGTAAAATACAATTATATCGCATATAATATTAATTATTTAGTACCTTTATCGAGTACAAGGTTCGTGAAGTCAAATCGGGTTTAATTCGATTTTTACGGCAAACAAAATATTTTTCCGCTTATAAATTATTCAACCTCGTTCCAAATTTTAACCAAATTGATTGCCATACAAAACAAAACTTATATAGAGTTTTTGTTAAACGATAATATAGATAACTACGATAAATTAAGTTGATCTAGATTTCTATAGAAAAATATGACACACAAATATTAACTATTGACTTCAATTTTGGGATGTAATGAATATTCTATAGGTATTGTAATGTGTTTAAAATAAAGTAAACAACAGTTGTAGTTGTAGGTTGATTGAATTCTCTCAAGTTCATATTTTCGACAGAAAATCCGATTTGCTACTTTATTTTCTGGATGTTCCAAGTCATTTTGACATCAAATTTAGCTGATTGAAAGCAAAATTTGACCTTATTTTGTAAGCTAGTAGCTTTTCTGACGAACTTAGTAAAAACGACTTTAAATTCGATTTTTTATTCTTCAGCAATAGATAGTGGTTTTGGGACATTTTTTTAGTTTTTGTCAAATAGCTCAGAAACTTTATATGAGGGCACTTTAGTTAGCTTAACAAAAACTAGATAAAATTTACTACGACTTCATGCCAACAATTATATACACTCCGATATAAAAGTTTTGGCAAAAACGACTTTGAATTCGATTTTTCATTCTTCATCGATAAATAGAAAATTCGGGCCATTTCTTTGGTTTTTGTCAAATTACTCGCAAATTTTATATGAAAAAACTCTTTTTGAATTAGATAAGGAAAAACTAGATAAAATTTACTACAATTCCATGCCAACAGTTGCATAAAGTCCTATAAAAATATTTCGAATAAAATGACTTTGAATTCAAAAATAGATAATTAAATATTAAATACACATCGTTATACTCAATTATAATATTACTTATATTATTTATATAAAATCGTTATATTCATTGTTAAATTATTTCCACCTTTTATCCTTTCAACAAGTAGTTTTTTTGTAGAATTGTAAAAGACATCATCAAGAACAATTTATTTTTAACTTGTGTCCTTTACAGTTCTTGAGTAAAACTTTCAATGTCGATTATCGTACAATTTGCCTTGAATCACAAGTAACGTTTCATTTCGTAAAAATAAACTTTAGACAATAAAATTTAAATGTGATGAAACGTTTTCCACAAAGTTTTTTCTCATTGCATGATGAGGAAAAACTTTGTGGAAAACGTGAAATTAATAAATGAAGTAGATGACTTATAAAAGGACTTAGTATAATATTCTACTATGAATTGTTATAATAGATTTTAGGGCTCTGACACCCTTGATCTGATTATAGGAAAAAATGTTTATTTTTAATATTTGTAAAGATTTAATAAAAAAAGTACATTTTATAAAAATGTGAGTAAGGTTAATTAAACAAAAGTAAGATTCATATAGTCCAATAAAGAAAAAAACAAGTTTTTTATGATATAAATTTTCAATCATTGTTTTGGTTCATAATCGACAAATTATCTAGTAATTTTTGCTTAAGAACATATGTAAATATATAAAAATATAAAATTGAATTACTACATAAAAACTTACATAAAACTGCCAGTACTATTACAGCTATTAGAAGAATTGCAATGATCAAGATTAAAACTTTTAATATAGTTTGTTTTCCACAATTTCTTCGGAATCTGCAAGGAAAATATAACATTTATTAATAATTTATTAATGAATAAATTTTAAATGATTGTTATTATAAAAAAATCATGCAAAGAATTTTTATAAGTTAAACTTTCTGTCTTTAACAGAACATATTTTTACAATACTATATTATATACTCAATATTAATTTTATTTATTTACTACTTGAGATATTTGTT